CCGAATTTTAAACTGAAACTTTCGATTTCATCGGAAACGCGTCGTGCGACACGTGACCGAACGAGGAGAATGAAATGGAGGAACGGAAGGAATGGGGAATTCGTAAGGACACAGCTTAAATCGTGTGTAGTAAAAATCGTCTCGACAACGAGACACATCGTCGAGAGGCGGTTACGAATCAATCGTTCGCAGCGAAGGAGATGAAACGAGGAATAGGAAAGGACGAGAGGAAGTGGAGGAGATGACGTTGATTCGTCGTCATCGGTTGGTCACTGTCTAGATATACGATTATACACGGTGGACGGTGAGAACGTATTCGCCAGACAAGATAAATTATGGTAAAATTGTAATTCCGCGACTAACGCGCAACTCACGTTTCATTCTTCGTAATATCACACCGAGGCAATCACGTTCCATGTTTTATATTATCGACGGTACGACGAGTACGCCATTTTGTCGGATTTGCATCGTTCCAGTCCGTGTTTCGAAAGCGAGGAAAAAAGAAGAAGAAGGAGCGAGACAACGCGTGGAAAGCGACGACAACACGTGGAAAAGCGAGGTCACGGGGAGATGAAGAAAGAAAACGCTCGTTTCAGCCGAGTGTTTCTCGTCTATTTAGCAGAGAAATTATTTCGTAGAAAATAAAGAAGAAGAGCCGTACACGACTGGCACGATGCTGATTCTTGGTCGTTGTCACCTTTCAAAATTAGTAGCCAAACGAAAAAAAGAAAAGATAAAAAAAAGAAAAAATAAAAAGGAAAATACGAGAGAGAAACAAGCGACAAATCGAAGATGATGTTTTTCCATTTCGATTCGGGATTTTGTTTGGAAGAATCACAGAGAGAAAAAAGGAAAAAAAAAAGAAAATTGAGAGAAAAAAAAAAGAGAGAAGCGAGCGGTCATCTTGCGGAATGCAGCGTATTTATTTTTCACGATATATTATCGAAAAAAGGAAAAAGAAAAAAAAAAGAGAGAGAAGAGGTAGAGGAAAGAGTGGAAACAAAACGAGCAGCGATTTTGAAGCTAAGTAAGATTTAGTGGATCGGGTTTCTTTCTTTTTCTTTTTGTTTCTTTTTTCTTGCTTTCCGCTTTTTTTCGTTTCTCTCCTAGTTTTTAAGGTGTTCCTTGCCGATGGCCGATCAGTCGAAGGCAGGAGAAAAAGTACAATGAAAATGAAGATAATTTAGATTTAGTTGATAAACGAAAGATCGCGTAAGAAGATAATTTAAACGGTATAAGTATAACCTTCGATACGAATATTGAAGTTTGCCCGGAAGTTATTTGGCGGTAATTTTGACACATTCGGTGTATTCGTCCCCCTCCCCCCCCCGCCCCCGTGAATCAAAGATCATCAGGGTAACTAATCGATCGAACGAAACGTACACCCGAGTTCCAATCAAAAAAAAACTTATTATCGAAACGCTTTGATTTAT